TAATCATATTATGACACTCAGCAGGGTCTTGCTTTATTTTGTATCCTTGTACAGTGCTCCATTTCTTTATTTAAAAAAACTGTTGCATCAAAAGTACATTATGTTCATAAATGGGCAACAAGAGTGCATTTGAATGTTTGTTTGTTGGAACAACAATGTAGGCACTGATGTTCTGTGTGTATATTAATATGTATTTGAGTCTCCACATGCACGTTTGCCTGTGTGTGGAGTCTTCATCCACTCTTGAGCTTTTGTCACATTGCATTTCTCCATTTTCGATTTTCACATTATACCTTAGACCTAGACACCGCATAGATTGGCCTGAACAGAAAATGCATTTCTCTGAATTTCTCTCTCTCTCACGCAACCAGATACAATCAAAGAGACATGCACACACAAACCTCTCTGATACCCTGTTAAATACATTTTTCAACAGCCTCTCATACCATTGTTTAGAATGTGTCAGAACCATGAACAAACCTGAATCAGAGAAATGTTGTTCGCCATCACGATTTATTTGTTACCTTCTTTTGTTGTCAAATAAAGCCATTTTATGACAATTTCCTCAGGGTTAGACTGATATGAATGTACACATTATAACATGAGTTCTTATTTATCAACTAAGGGTGTTGGTAAGTAGGTGTAACAAGTGGATACATCATTACTGTGTCAAGAGCAATATCAAGACAACATCTTATCTTTGACAGCTCCATTTCACCAATGTTCACCGACAGGGACTTTATAAGGGTTTGTTAAATGTCACTCTTGAAATGAAACATGACTATTGCCACTACTATATTCCTCCTAACCTCTTGACTTTAGGGATTATTTCAGGACACATGAATCCCTGTTCATCATCCAGCGCTGTGACCTATGGACTTCCCTTTGTCATCCTATGCCTGGACTCATACAAAAGGGGCTGGGAAGGCAAAGGGACGCCCAGTTGTCATACAAACATCTAACCATCCATATAATCTGTAATCTATCCTTCATCTCACTATGTTTAACATAAACCCAAGGTAACACTTAAGGGGATCCACCTGTGAAACAAGGTGATAAGTGACAAGGTGTACTGTATATTATATATCTGCTGCCGACCATCCATAACACGTAGCCATCCTTGTGTGTGACTGTTTCACTCTAACCTTAACCTCAGCAGTGTCTGAAGTATTTTAACCTGCCATTCAAGATGGCCACAGTTTTTTCTTGAGGTTAGTTTCATTTTAAGGCCCTGACTCACCAAGCTGACTGTCAGCCACCGTCAACTCGGCAGTGAGCGTCTGTCGCCCTCACCTCTGTGGTGTGTCTCACACTACTGGCACTAGTCAGACCCTGTTGGTGGCTTTTCAGTTGAGTTGGCATGTTGAATCAGCAACCAGTCTGGCTGGTTGTTCAGCTTAGTGAATCAATGCACAAGAAGAGAACGGAACGGAAAGCCCCTTGAACCTGTTGCTGCAGTATCCATTACTTCACTCATTTAGTACAGTTTCTCCTTGTTTTTTTCACCCCCACCGCCCAAACCAGAAGATCAAGGGCTCACAACACGAGTGCCTTTTGCAGCTTCTTATCAGACATATTTTTGATTAGAAGCAGCTATAAGTTGTTTGTACTGAGTGAAAGTTGCTTTATTTACAGTTTGTATATCCTCACTCTTGTGTCTTCATCTTTCCCTTTCTGAATGACAAACACAGACTGCCGCCACCTGCTGGTAGGGGGAGTTTGAAACATTTGACTGGTAGAGTACGATGGGCTGTGGTATCTATTTATTTCTACAGTCGTTAACTTTTTCCTTTTTTTGGGGGGG